GTATGGGCATATAATTCCAGTATTCCAATCTTCTGGTAACGCGCGTTCTTGCCATACCTGTATTAGTAGTTTGTGAAGGAGGGTTACAAATGTTTGACTGCCACATTTAAATATTTCTGCTGGTAGGTTGTCTGCTCCGGGTCACTTGTTTCTGGCTAGAGACTGAATTGCTTTGTTTATTTCTTCCAAAGTTGGTAGTTGAGTATCCTCGTGTTCTATTTCTATATCTATATCATATCTACCTTCAGCTCTACTTTCTCCATTAAGTTAGCGTACTAAAATGTTCCTGCCATCTTTCTAGTACTTTCACTCTCTCGTTTAAAAGAATTCCGTTAAGGGCCTTGACAATGTATGTCAAGGCATAGATGACATTGACAATGTCAATGTCATCTACGTAGGCCAATATCTGTACACTTCTATTGATGTTTGTACCTCTGGTTGTTATGCTCGATTTCTCTATGGCTCTTTCTAGCGCGATGTTAAACAATAGGCACGATAGACTGTCTCCCTGGCGTAATCCAGTATGTGTTTGAAAATACCTTGACACTCTGTTTTGTACCTTGACTTTGCACTCAACTTTCGAAGAGTTGCCTTTACCAATGTTATTAGATGAGACGGAGTATTCTAGTTCTGCCATGGCATTATAGTGCGCTTCTGTCTAGAATGTCATAAGCCTTTTTAAAATCTATGAAGCGGTGGTGGCTATCAATTCCATATTCATATGTCTTTTCTAATGTTTGTCTGAGAAGCAAAATCTGATCAATTGTTGACCTTTCTTTTCGGAATCCACATTGGTATTTGCCTATTTTTTCCGCAGTATATACGAGTAAACGATCATAAAGTATATAAGTCAGTACTTTGTACGCCGTATTTAGTAGGGTAATACCTCGATAGTTGTCACATATTAGTGGATCCCCTTTCTTGTGAACACGTATTATAATACCTACATTCCAACTGTCTGGAAGTTTTCCTTCTCTCCAAATGGATGCAACAAGTTTTAATATGTATCTTTTTAGGGCGTTTGCTCCATTTTTGCTTGAACAGCTCAGGGGATATACCATCTCCAGGGGATTTGTTGTTCTTTTAACCTTTTTATTGCCTTGGCAACTTCTTCTTCTGTTGGTATATTATTTTTCTCCCTCTCTTCGTCTACGTCTCCACTGTGGTCATTTATGAGAGTCATTTCTTGGTTGCCTATATTTAATTTTTCAGCAAAATTCTCCGCGTATCTCTCCACTATTTGATCCTGCTCATTGATAATTTAGGCTTCCTTACTTTTCATTATGGTTATTCTAGGTTTAAATTCTTTTCTGTCGTGGTTCACATTTTTATAAAGTTTTCGCGTTTCGCTTTGTGAATTGAGCTTTTCCAGTTCCTGCAGCTGGTTTTCTAAATGTCGTTTTTTCTTTTTGTTTTAGTATCTTTTTCTCTGCTTGTCTCGTCTGTTTGTACTCCTCTTGATTTTGTCTTGTCCTTCTGTTTTGGAGTTTCCCATACGCCTGATTCTTTTTTGAGTTGCCTGTGCACATTCCGCATCATACCATTCTGTCCCCTTCCTTTCTTGTTTCTTCTTTCCTACAACTGTTTTTGCTACTTCTTTCAGGATATTTTCGCACTCATTCTAGTAATTATCTATGTTTTCAACAGTACTATTCATGTGGTCTTCTAGTTTTTCTTTAAGTTTGTGTTCAAATTTTCTAACTATCTCAGGGTTTCGTAGTCTGTCTACCTCGAATTTATCTTCTTTGGTTCCTTTACCTTGTTTTGCGTTAGAGATTCGTGCCCTTACTTTAGCCTGGTCCAGGTAGTGATCGGAGTCAATGTTTGCTCCACGTCTGGTACGTACATTCATAACATCGCTGTAATATCTTGCGTCCACAACTACATGGTCAATTTAATTGATTGTGTTACCGTCTTGGCCAACCCAAGTGCCTTTGTGTATATTTTTACGCTCAAAGCATGTGCTGGCTATCACCATATTCATTGAGGCCGCGAGGTGCATTAAGCGTGTTCCACCATTGTTCTATTCGTTATGGAGGCTATATTTTCCAATGGTGGAATCGTGGAATAGGTAATCGTTTTCTTTTCCTATTTTGGCGTTGAAATCTCCAAGTACTATTTTTGGATCATTTCTAGGGCAGACATTTCTTCGATGTCTATTACTAGTGCTCACTCTTGCGCTGACTATGAATCCTGTTCCAAGTTTATGCTCTGTTGGGTGGCAGCTATAGTCATCGAGCAATAAGACAAAAGAGGGAATCTAATCCTTATGAAAAGGAGACCAAAAAAGTGGCCTCTGATGGCGGACATATCCGGAAATGCGAATGCGCCAAATTTAAATTTTCCGACACTTATCAACAGTAGCTATATAATATTTTCAGAATGTGTCTTAGACGAGAAAGTTTTAATTAATTATTAATGATAAGAGTCTAAAATGCGACACAATTGTTAAAAAACTTCAATATAAATAAGATTTCATGTGACGTTTGGGACAAACAATAACATAACCCAACTAAATTTGATGTCAAACAAGGAGAGAGACTCTCTTTCCTTGTTTAATGTGGCCTCTAAAGATCGCACTTCCTGTCTAACAATATGTTTGCCCCCACTACCTTTACATTCCCTCTATTGTCTTTTTGCTCGATGGCTATAGTACAGTGTATATTTCTTTTTCTCGAATATTTTTTTCCCAACCACCTAACCTCTTGAAACGCTATGATGTCATATATTATATTTATCCAGGATGTCGAGGAGTTCCCGCAATTCTCCAGTTCTATATAAGGATCTCACATTCCACGTACTTAATTGTAACTCTTTATCCTTTTTCTCGCCAAGTCGTCGTCTAGATTTCAGTCCGGAAACTTTTTCTTGAATTCTCATAACATGATGGTTTTACGGTGTCGAGGTTTAACCCTACGTCCAACCCCCAACCTGGAGGACCAGTTCGCCCACTCTCGTCAGTTTTCGACCCAACTTTCCACCCGGGTTGGATACCGGATCTCCAGTTGGGTTGCTCGGTTTAACACTGGGCACCAGCGTGAAAGTGAAAGTCGGATTTGAGTAGGAAAGGCTAAGTGGAGTAAACTGTAAGCAACTCCATGTTTTAGCATTCCACCCCTATACCCCCCAAAGGCCAGTTAAACCCGATTTTTATTAATCTATCCCTACATCTAACAAAAATTGTCGGCTACTTAAATGCTACATAAAGAGATGTAATGCTAGAGAAGAATACTGCGGAAGGGGAAAAGAACGTCAAATACTTATTACGACAAAAAAAAAAGGAAATTAGACTGTTTTGAACATAATCCAAGAAATTATAGATCTGTTTTACTTCATTTGGTTATTGAAGAAAAAGCGTTTGCTAAGAGAGACTTGGTAGGAGGGCGTATTTCCTGACTCTATAATCTCAAAACTTGGTTAAACATGACGACCACAGGGCGGTTTCGAGCAACTGTAAATAAAGTCAAAATTGCTATGATGATCGCCAAAATTCGGAACCACAGGAACCACAAGAACCAGATGCTTTTGATGTTAAGATGGTAGAATCAGATTCTGGGTCTGAGATATGCTATGTAATGAGTTAATCCGTAGAAGGATCTGTATTTGTTTCCATCATAATTATATTTTTGTATCAGTAATGTTTGTAATAAGTACTGACGAATATTTCATTTGGTCTGGTACCTAATTTTTGCGACAGACAGAATTGGTGTATCTTTTGTTGAGGTGAAGAAAAGTCCGGCAACGGACTTATAATTACCTCGCAGAAGCCAGCTAACAGCTCGGAGAGAACGCTTCCTGGCCAGATAGATATCGATTTTTGAAATAGGGAAAGACAGAGTGTCTTAAAGCTGTTTCAGATCGTGTAGAACTAATACAGCGCTCCCACCGATGGTTAGAAGTAAATAAAAGCTCCAGGTGGACTTAGCATTACTCCTCGATCGGTGTCCGAGCTGAAGTAGCACTTCGTCACCAAAACCATTCGACAGAAATAATAAAAGTCTCTATGGGACTTGAGATTATTTTGTGAGAGGTGGCATTACGGAATGAAGGGCCGTCAAAGAGTCAACACTCTGCCGACGTTCCTATATCTCGAGGAGTGTGAACTTGGTCACACGTTGAGACATGAAGGGCCGGCATCGCTGTGAGATCCAAGGCATCCCCCGTGCTCAGAATACTAGACAAATTATTCATCCAAGAAGAATATATATTATTCACGTAAGAAAACTTGAACTGTTTAAAGTATTCTGCATTACCGGTGGCACTTCCGATTCTTCGATGAGCTTCTCGCCGACTGGAAGTCGAGATCACATAAACTCCACGAGCAAGAGGATGATCCGACCGTACGACAAGCAATCAAGAGCAGCCTTTTTGAAGATGATGAAGTTTCTGAGTAACCCAAGACTCAATCTGAAAATCCGGTATCGGATGTTAAAATGTCAATCCCACTCTATTCTTCTTTATGGGTCCAGAGCTTGGACTGGTAATGTTGACTTAATGAGAGAGCAGGAAGCTTTTAGATGTGGCTTTTTAGAAGAATTACGAACGAAATGGTGTTGCACAGAATGGAAGGAGATAGAGAACTTTTGATCACCATTAAAAGAATATACATAGTGGGGCACATACTTAGAAATCAGAAGTTCGATTTTTTGCAGCTGATTATAAAGGGTAAAACCGAAGTAAAGACGACAACTATCCTGACTAAAAAATATTCGCGACTGGACCAGGTTAAACACACAGACGCTTTTATGGATATAGCCAAACTTCCTTAGTGAAGTTGGCTCTAGAAGAAGAAGAAGATATCCGTGTGTGAATTGCATACGATAATTATTAATGTAATTAAAATTTATGATATTTGTAATTTAGTGAGTTTTTGGGGTGAAAATAAGTTGTTAACCCACGTTTGCTTAACTTAATCCCCGAATCTACAGAAAAGCGTAACAATAATATTTCTAGCGTAATAATTATGATATTTTAATAAATAATTAGTACTTTATTTTTAGGATTAAGGACATACTTTATCTTGGGCCGAAAAACCGACAAAACTCCATCCTATAGTGGATCGTTTCGAGCCGAAGGTCGCCAGAAGTACGCCAACTCTCTCCAGCTTTTCATCTCGCCTCCTTCCAACTCTTCTTCCTCACCTCCTTCTCGGCCTCGCGTCTTATCCTGTGATACTTCCTCAAATTACATAAAACCACAACAACAAACGCAACATTTACTCTCCCCCGATGTGTGTAAAATAAAAGCGAGCAGTTTACCAAGTATTTTAGATCTAGAAAGCGACGATGCTATCTGCACTAGCCCGAACAACAACGACTCTTCCTGTACCGATGATATTAAAACTCCAACTAGTACGGCTAGTTCTGGAAAGTACGCCGTGAAATTAAAGAACTGGAAAATGCCGAAATTTATGAGGAAATTGTCTGATCAGAAGCAGGATTTGGAAGTGGATGTGTTTACTGTTTCGCCTCTGCCGCCGACCGAAGATGGATACCAACAAGTAAGTATCCTATGTGCAATCTTTTACTTTACATTTAACCCATATTCTTAGAAGATATTTAATGTACAATCATTATACTTAAATTAAATAGGGGTGTACATGGAATCTCGAAACGAACTGATGTTTCCACTAACAATTCGTTCATGTCTTTAAACAATAGGTATGTTCACCGCTGATATTTAGAACTGTTTAAAGTGACCTGTAGTTACAAAGGACAGTGGTTTAGTAAACTCTATGATGAAAATTGTTGCACAACAAATTAATAGAGCTCTTGAACTTAGTGAGATTTATTTTCACCGCCATTTAATTTGCTTTTGTTCACAGTTAGGCAGTTCCTTTCTAATACACCTACTGGACAAAGCACGTAAAACTTCTGTTCCTAGAGATGAGGCATGTGTTCCTTGTCTCGAGAAGTTATCGTCGGCTAGCTCGTTCCCTGCACTTCCGTTATGTCCGGGTACACACATTAAGGTAACCGCACTGTGTTGTGTCAGTAAGTGTGGTGTTTTACCTCCTAAGATCGTGTAGACTGCGAATGTTTTGTTTTGAATAATGCTTGACTAATACAGAGTGAATAGCTTGCAATATAGTGTCTTGAATTAACTCATTAACAACAAGTATGTTATCTATGTGATTTATAAAATAATAGGTAACAGACGATGTTTTGTCATTGTCTATACATATCAAAATGCATATATCTTTCATGTCAAATTTTTTATCTGGTGTGATTTTATCTTTGTTTTGATGGTAACTCACACTATCTATCGTTTTAACAAATATTACTTCTTCATAAACGTCATTGATTGGCATTGACGAAGGATCACGGATGTATATCTTCTTCTTGGTGTGCCTATCCGTGACGAATGTTGACGATCATCATGACAATCTTTATCTTATCTGCAGCAGCGCGAAAAACCTGCTTAGATGTTGTGTTGAACCAGATTCTAAGGTCCTTTAACCAGGATGTTCTTCTTTTTCCAGGACCTCGCTTTCCAAATATTTTTCCTTGCAGGATGGCTTGTAGGAGGGCATATCTGGATTAATGTCGCATAATGTGTCCAAAGTGCTGTAGCATTCGAGATTTGATGGTGGTCAGTACCTAAAACCGATAGCTTGCAATAGAGAATCATTGACACTAAAAACCGATAGGATATAGCCTATAGAAAAAACTTTATCGGGAAAAAAACAATATAAGCGACTCAGTCTGCTATTAGAGATGAAGTATTGCGGTGTTTTTCATGAAGCCAGCCTCCCTGTCGAAAATACATCACATTTGTTTATCGTTCGATCGAATTAGACCAATCGGAAAAAAATTCTAGGATACGACTTGCGTTATTTCGTAAGAATCGACGCTCAAAATAATTTTAATGACCAAAAAAACAATATTTTAAGCCATAACAAGTTATTCAGGGTCGAATAAAAATTATTACGTTCGGCAATTTGGTTAGTTTTCTTTTCAGTTAAGGATTTTATATCTCCAACAGATGGCGTCAGGATTATTACTGTGTTTTTAACAAATTAATTTCAGTTAAAAGTATCCCACATAAAGTAAATGCTTCCTATTGGCGGAATATTGTCAACAATAAATTGGCCATTAGGGCAGTCCTTATAGTAAGGACCTGGTCTCTACGAAAAATATAAGCGCTGTAAGGTAATACTGCACTAATTACTATTTAACTGGGAATAAGCCACAATTAAAGATAAAAATACTTTTATTGACGTTTCAATTTCCACTTCGAAAATCGTTCTCAAAATACAAACAGTAAATTTGTTAAATAATTGTGGCTTATTCCCAGTTAAATAGTAATTAATTTAAATGCCACAAGAAAATAGCTTCAGAACAATAGTAATACTGCACTGTTGGCCAAATCGTGCAGGACATGGTGATGATAGAAAAGGCATTTCGGGCATTAAATGTTTACGTATTAATATAAGCATGTCGTGGTACTTCTTCAAGTGTCATCTCCACAACGGAGGTCGGCTCTAAAAAGGTCATTTGATGTACATCCGTACCACTCTCTCAGGTTGCGCAGCCATGACATTCTACGCTTCCCTATGCTTCTCTTTCCTTGGATCTTTCCCTACATAATCAGTTGGAGCAAGGTGTATTTCTCTCCACGTGTAATATGTCCGAGATATCCCAATTTTCTTGTTTTAATTGTATTTACAATTTCTATTTCTTTATTCATCCTTCTCAGAACCTCGTTTTTTGTGACGTGTTCTGTCCACGATATTTTCAGAATTCAAGTGGATTGTGATCTGAGGCCACGTCTGATCCAGGATATGCTTTCACGGCTTTAACAGCATTACGGTATCTTTCATTGATCATAATGCAGTCTATATGGTTCCTGACTACTTTCTCTGTCGTCTGTCTCTATACAGTCGTCTGTTTGGTAACTTAAAAAATGTGTTTGTAATAATCAAGTTCTGCTTTTGACAGAATTGTAATAGGCGGTCTCCTCTCTCGTTTCGATTTCTCACACCATAGTTTCCTACATACTTTCCGCTTTGTCCCTTTCCAATCTTTGCATTGAAATCACCTAGGACTATCGTGATTTCTCTTATATCGTGGTACAGCACCATCAAAATTTAAGGGCCGTTATTACTAGAAAAATGAAAACGCTACATGGAGCTTGTTTACCATGTACTTGAATTAGAGATGTACTGGTATATGAAGAAATAGGACTTTACAATAGTTACAATTCTCCAAAATGTATTTATTGAAAACTTGGGAGATTTCTTAGTCTTCAGTAAATGCATATGGTTTAGTTTTATGGTTTTTTTTATTGATTGATTTCACCTCTGTGTTTCGTCGTTGGACGGACTCTAGTGTTAATAATATATAAATAATCAAATTATTAAAACGTTAAATCATTTTATAGGTTCCTACGATCATCGAAGCAACCGTTAATGGCAATAAAGATTACATACCAAAGACAGACGTAGAAGATTCGTTGAAAGACAATATCGATATAAAATCCTATATAAGCCAGTCCCGAAGCGATATCGGTCAGTTTGATTATTCCTCCAACTGTGAATTCATCAGGAGCGGAAGCTATAGATCACAATATGGTAGATCTCCGGTATCGGATCTCCAGTATTTACACCGAAGTGGAAGCAGTCGATCTAGACGAGGTAGGTCACCTATGTTTGACAGCTTGGAGCCCACGGAAAGAGCTAGAAGCGCCACGGTCTCGACCATCAATATCCAGAGACCAAAGAGGTCCTTTGAACTTCCCAGTAGGTTATCTAGTGTTACTGGATTAGAAGAAAATATCAATCAGAGCAGAAAAGATTCTGGAATTCGGAGTAATAGTAGGAAAAGTAGTATACAGGTAAGCAATTACTCTTTCACATCTGGCCCAATTAAGTTTAGTTTTTTAATCTATACAATTGTTTAGAGGAATTTGACAGTTGAAATACATATATAGTATGAGATACTACAAAAGACTCCCATCTAGGACTTATCAATTTTTTAGTGGAACTATTTTTAAAGTAATATATGATTGAATGCTCGATTAAATGAACTTTAATCAAATAAAAGACAGATATAGAGCACAGTTTTTATTAAATCTTGCCCAAGTACTTCTTGCATCTTCAGGGGCATTTCGTTAAGGTTATAGGCTATACAGCACTTTTATGAATGTCATAAACATTAAATGATACATTTACACAAAACTAGACAATGGACAATCAGTTTAAAAAAAATTTAAATTTGAAGAAGCTGCATACTGGGTGACAGTAGGAGAGGGAAAGCTCTCCTGTTCTCTAAAGATTAAGAACAGTTATTTTTGAATATCGTCGGTCTAATTAGTAAAACTTGTAACTCCATTTCTTGCTACTTTAAAGAAATCGAGAAAAACTGTTTTTCTAATTTTTTTCAGATTTTGAAATAAAACAAACTGCTATTTTGGATAGTATTTAGCTAGTTTCTTTCGACAAGTTAAATACATTTTGTAATTTTCTCTTTTATTTAATTATTTTTTAATTTCAATGGAGTTACGCGATTTTCTGTTCAGTTTATGAGGAGTTGAGAGTTTTTTTATAGAAGACTTGTTACTCTAAGAATAAAAAAGGATGATAAATGACCATTGTTATTATAATGCTTTTGTTTATATTTCACAATATAACAATCAAAGTAATTGTATTATAAAATAATAGAACATAAAACATAATTATATATTTTTGTACTCATGTAATGTAAGGTATGTTATCATAAAACTGATGGAAGTCACTCGGTAAGGTTCCCTTTAGATCCTGCATGTCATCATCGGTTTTGGCAGTCATCATCGAAGCTTAGTTTGTACTCGTCTGTTTTTGTATAATAATGCACAAATATCTGTAACTGTCGCATCACCTACTCGCCTCCAAGGCCGTATACTTTTCATTGACATAATCTTAGTCAAATCTTTGAAGTACTGATGTTCCAAGTAGGTAACGTTATATGGATTTTGTTTTCTTGCCTCTTTGAAAATCTGGACGTAGTCTGCCGGAACATTGATATCTCTTTTAGGGACTATCTCTAACCCTTCAAATAGGAGTGTTAAATTTGCAAAGGTATTCGCTAAAGTGGTATTTCTATTTTGGTAGCCACACCCGTCACTGTAAAATACCACCTTCCTTACGCCTGACTCACCCAGTGTAGTTACAAATTTTCCCAAAATAGTGGAGAACTCTTGTGCAGTTAGCCTACCTTCAGTTTCATTCCACAAATAGCAGTATCCTTCCTTGCTTTGCAAATTGAACAAAGTAAAATTGTGGCAGACCAATTTTGTCTTATAGTACATGGTAGAAACATTCGACTTCGGAGACAATAAAACGCTTTGTAGATCCATTGTGAATACGGCTTGATTAAGCGTAATATCAGTTTTATCTTTGTCTTTTTCCTCCCGTGTCCTGTAAACTTTTTTCAAGACCAGTATTGTTCGTATCAACTGTTCGTTACAAATTTATTCACATCTTCAGATTGAAAGACTGTCCTTTTACAATGCGTTGCTCAGAATCTAATGATATCATAGGAAGTTAATTGAATTGATCATCTATTGATCTTACTGTAGCATCACCATCTAAGAAAATCAAATTCATTGCACTCATTTATTTCGTCTACAGTAAACACTACTTAACCCTATTGGGGATTGTCAAAGAATTTCTGCAAGAAAATATTATTATTACTAACTATTTTTACTATTAATTATTTATACTTACTTGATGAAAATTCATTTTATGTAACAATAAAACACTGAAAACTTCGTTTTCAAACTTTCACCAAACAATTAATAAAATGTTAAATCAAAAACTACACAAGAAAGCCCTGAAATTAGTATTTCCACCACCAGAGAAAAAACCCAATACCTTCTGCTCGATTACATATACAGACAAAATAACAACAAAAATTTGCCAAACACATAAAAAAGAAAGGAATAACACCAGCTTTCCGAACGAATAACAACCTAGGCAAATATATTAAAAATAACAAGAGCCAAAATAAAAAACACTTAAATAGTGGTGTGTACAAACTTCAATGTGGCGACTGCCCAAAAACTTACATCGGTCAAACTGGTAGAAACTTTGATAAACGAATAGCAGAACATAAAAGGGCTTTCAAGAATAGAAAAACAGATTCGACATACGTACTTCACCTTCTAGATCATAATCATTCTTTTAATGACAAATTTAAAATTCTTCACATTCAAAATAAAGGCCTTAAGCTATCTTTGTTAAAATCTATGGAAATCAACATATTAAAAAACACAGATATAATTCTGAATGACCAACTTGAGACAAAGAGTTCTCCCCTCCTCAACCTATTTCATTAGAGACTATAAATTTGTAAACCCAAGCCAAAAATAGATCACTTGAGAAAGGCAATCAGCCGAAACAGCTGTAGTGATAAGATTTATAATAAATTTTGTGGAAGTTTGAAAACAAAGTTTTCAGTGTTTTATTGTTACATTACTTATTTTTATGACTTAATATTATTATTACATAAACAAGGATAGTTATTACATAAACAAGTTTGTACTGCAGTTTTTTTAGGAAGAAATTTATTATTGGTCTATTATTATCAATTGATTGTATTTAGTATTAAAAAAATAAGGCTTACCTGTATTCAATAGGAGTTGCAGGGAGATCATTTTCTTTTGACTTAATTAACAGCTGTACCATAAGTCTGCCTCTACTATTACCACTAGTAGACATTTTAAATTGGTTTTTGTTACTTTAAAATAAAAGAAAATTGTTTTCCAAACGATACACGTCTGCGCACTAACATAAAATAATGTAAACAAGAACTTTGTGAGTTTAGATTTTAATAGGTTAGGTTAGGAGTTACGAGTATTTCGTGTCCCGTTTGCTGACAACAGTGCTCGTCAAGGAGTTACGAATTTTACACATTAATGGACTTACGAGTTTTTCGGTGCCCATACATCACGTTGAAAATACGAGGTTTGTTTTTTTCAATTTCATAACTTTACTATAACAGATGGAGTTCCAAGGTTTTACAGGCATGCGCCCACTGTCCTGTTCTAAAGCATTATCGAAGAATCCAAATGTCTCATAAAGTGGAGTTACGAGTTTTTCGAATTAGACCGACGATATAGTATTCATATTTGTCTTGTTATTGTTCAGTATGATTTTTAGTTGTTATTACACGTTCAAATTAGCTTTAATGTCGTCAAATGGGGAAAATATTAAAATTCAACAGAAAAGTAAGGATTCAATTAGATACCATCTAAAATGAATTTTATTTTTTAGATCGATCCAACTCTTACGAATTCAGAAATGTTACATCGAGTCTCTGGATATTACACAGCTAGTCAATTTTCAATAAACCACACCCCTCAAGTGCCAAGGAAGTTCGGACCGCCATTTTTCGATAAATCCGGAGCATCTATACAAATTTTGCGAAAACAATCAGACCGACAGTTAATAAAATGTGTTCAAGACAACTCCAAATCAAAATCTTCATATTTCATAAAGCCACCTTTGTCTAGCATTTCGTTATTTTTCAAAGACAAAGAGATGGAGAAACAGTATCGCCAGAATGTGCACCGAATACCGAAAAGAGGAGATCAAGATATTATGACTTTGGCCAACTCCAAATTTAACACGTATTTAGATGTGTTGGTGTCGTTGTTGGTTTTTCTCTTAGTCTCTTTGGGATCGGCTCTTTTGTACAAAGTGACGTCGGTGTGGTTAACAACATTTTTCGTGCTGTTGCTTTTTCAATCGTTGGGCATAGCTTTTTGTTTGAAAAACGTCGTGCGATGGTTCGACAGAGTGTTGTGGTGCTTCATCAGATTTTATCGATGGAACTTCTTCGGAGCTGTGCTCGTCAGTTTGCCTTTAGTTTCAGCAATAGCAAATTTCGCTAATAATCAAAACTTTTCACCAACTAGCCTTAATACCTTTAGTTATTTGGTATTTGTCGGTCTAGTTCATTTTTGCAACTTCACCCAGTTGAATTGTTGGATGAAGAACATACTAGCTACTGTAAGTAGTTTTTCTTTAGCTTGCGTGTGTATTTTTTATGACGATAGTTCCTGTAGCTACGAAACGATGCAGTCTAATAGCACGAATACAAACGGCTCATTAGTATTAGATAGTTTTAATTATACAACTCCGACAGAGGACAGATCTTGTGTGTTTTATAAGGCTGAAATAGTTTTGAATTTGTTAATATTGGTTATACTGATATGGATGTTAACAAGAGGGTTCGAGATCGGTTACAGATTGAGTTTCCACACAAATTACGTAGCTAACAGGGATAAAAACAAAGTGGAAACTTTAAAGAACCAAGCCGATTATCTTATATATAATATAGTTCCGGAACATGTAGCAGAACAGCTGAAAAAAGACGCCAAATACTCAGAGAATTTTAAGAACGTAGCTATCATTTTTGCCAGTATTGTAAACTTCAACGAAATGTATGATGAGAGTTTCGAAGGAGGTAAAGAGTACCTTAGGGTTCTTAACGAACTAATAGGAGATTTCGATGAACTGTTAGATCGACCAGAATTTCACAGCGTAGAAAAAATAAAGACCATAGGATCGACATTTATGGCCGCTAGTGGATTGAATTCGCGCAAACGCTTACTGCAGAAGGATCCCAACGAACATCTTTTTGCGTTGATGGATTTCGCTATAGAAATGCAAAATGTGGTGAACGATTTTAACAGATACTTATTAGGTTTCGTTTTGGAGTTAAGAGTCGGTTATAACTTCGGAGATGTAACCGCCGCCGTTATAGGAAACACAAAACTTTATTATGACATTTGGGGGGACGCGGTCAACATCGCGTCCAGGATGGATAGTACCGGTACAAAAGGTAAATTGCAGGTAGGTGAACATTGTTTGCCGATTTTACAAGAAAAGTACGAGTTTGAATTGAGGGGATCAATTTATGTTAAAGGTAAAGATAATATGAATGTTTATTTTCTCAAGAAGAAGAAAACTTCGCCGTTCCTGTCGGTCCCCGACACTTCATTGTGATGCTTAGATTAGATAAAGAAACTTTAAATGAAATTTTAATACAGTAGGCTAGTATAGAGTCACTCATTTTTTTAAAATTGACTTCTAATATTCGAGAAGATTATTCGAATATACTTAGGTAAAATATTGTCAGGATTGTTATTTATTTATATTTTATGGGATGCAAAGTTGACATTTTCTTACAATATCATACGGATTTGTGAACATATACAACGTATATGGTTTTAAAATAGTCAAAATGGACGAATGAGAGATGCTAATGATTAATCATGATATAACGATAAAAAAAGTATAATTATTTCTTCTAAAAATAAAGAATATTAATACTTTAGGGTAACGAATTCGATCATACTAGGCACTCAGTCACGTGATAGTGCATACCAATCAGAATACGTTACGTCACGACTTGAAAAGTCATTGTTCTTGTTAAAATGTTCGTAGAACATAACAGGTATACCCGGTTCGCTATTCCCAGTCGGAACTGGCTAGTGATTTTAGTAATTATTTTTTTTTCGAAGTTAGTAACTTTTTGACATACTCGAAGTGGCTGGAAAATACTATACAACCAAGCATACGTCCTCTTAGTCAATATTAATGTAAACAAAAGTAAATAAAATAGAACTTTGCCGACAATCAATATTTATTTATTTACACCGTATAATGTATTGATAACAAATAATAAAATTAATTATTGTACAAAATAAAAAAGTGGGAATAAATTCTACAAAATTAAGAAGTCAAAGTGAGGTTAAATAAGAATTAGACACAGCAAGTTCCTTATGTATTTACAACATTTACATAATTCGATAAATACATTTTAATGATCAACTTACCTCAACAGGGTTTTCATTCGGTAAAAAAAAATGGTAGGCATTTTGAATAAACCTTTGTGCAGTTTTATTACCTTGTAATCTAGGAACAGCATCCTTACTAATCTAAAAATATTAACTTTAAAAAAAACTTTTTAAAAAACATTTTATCATATTTATTAAGAAAAACTTACCAACGCATTAGCTGATGGAACAAATGGAAAACTTTGACTATCCATAATAATAAAATTTAAAATATAACTAACTAATTAACTGAATAGAACTAACAAAAGAATTAAACAAAAATAATAAAACAATATTAAATTAAATAAACAACGCGAATAATACAAATATTTACTACAATATTTTAAATTGTAACAATTCAAATATTATATTTTAAATATACAGGGAAAATTTGATGAGTTTAGTATACACTTCCACTATTTAGAATAATTCTTCTTTTTTTCAAAGAAAAAGGTCTGCAATAGTAGTATACTTGAGCTATTTATACTGAGAAGTAGGAATTGTTGTGTTGTAGGTTTCCTACAATGAGTCTGTCAAAATAATCGAGCAATAAGACAAAAGAGGGAATCTAATCCTTGTGAAAAGAAGACTAAAAAAGTGGCCTCTGATGGCGGACATATCCGGAAATGCGAATGCGCCAAATTTAAATTTTCCGACACTTATCAACAGTAGCTATATAATATTTCGCAGAATGTGTCTTAGACGAGAAAGTTTTAATTAATTATTAATGATAAGAGTCTAAAATGCGACACAATTGTTAAAAAACTTCAATATAAATAAGATTTCATGTGACATTTGGGACAAACAATAACATAACCCAACTAAATTTGATGTCAAACAAGGAGAGAGACTCTCTTTCCTTGTTTAATGTGGCCTCTAAAGATCGCACTTCCTGTCTAACAATATGTTTGCCCCTACTACCTTTACATTCCCTCTATTGTCTTTTTGCTCGATGGTCAAAATATGCCCTAGCTAAGCGAATAGACAATAACTTCTAGTTTTTTATCTTCCAAGACAATTATAATTAATTCACTATGGAACCAGGCTTTTTAAAATTAATTTCAATTATAATATTTCAATTATATTATTAATATTTCAATTATAATAAAGTTTATTAAGCTGTTAATACCGTGAGAAAGTTCCTTTCTCACGGTATTAACAGCTTAATAAACTTTTAGTAAAGACTTCTTTCTTTGAAAAAAAAAAGAAGAATTATAAGTAATGGAAGTAGTAGTACTACTTCCTATAAAATTTTGGATAGTATATATTTAAAAATATATTTCAGTTGTTATAATTTAACATATTCTAGTAAATATTTGTATTAATCACGCTTATAATTTTATTATTTGTTATTAGACATTATATGGTGTAAATAAATAAATATTGATTGTCGGTAATTGGTAAAGTTCTATATTATTTACGTTTGTTTACAGTAATATTGGATATGAGCACGTGAGCTTGGTTATATAGTAATAATTCCAGCCACTTCTAGTCTGTCAAAAAGTAACTAACTTCGCAAAAAAATTTGTTTTAAATTTGGCCATGACTCAGTCCAAGTAGCCCATCGAGTTAGAATCTATGGAGAAGCTATGAGCATATTAACGTGTGTATTAAAAACGGCGTAGGTAGGTGTGGCTAACGATAATACCAATATGGCGGTGGGATCATGGCCGGACTCAATAATATTAAAACTACTATAAAAATATGGCTAGTTATTTAAAAGATTTAATCATTATCTAAAAAGTGCAATACATTTTTAATAAACTATGATTTATTTATCCCGCGGTAAACACTAAAAACACGATATATTATACATAACGATAAATTAATACAGTCAAATACTATTAATTTATTCTCTGAAGTACGGGCCATTACTTTGTTTACATATTTGTATACTAACCTGTACAACGTTATTCCTGATGATTTTTTATTAGCATTGCTTCTGCTACTGTAACTACGTTGAGAACAAGAAAATATTATTAGGCACTATCACAATATAGTATTACAGTTTCTATAAAAGTATTATAAAACTTAAAATGTTGGAAAAACAACAAAGGTAAATAAACTTATACGATCTGTCAAAAGTGTCAAAACAATATTAACAATAGTATTAACAATATGGCCGAAGTGAGGTCGTTTTTAGTCACGTGATGCCCTCTCCATAGATTTTAACTCGATGAAGTAGCCTGGACGCATGGTTGTGCTGCGAAATAAATATAAATTTTATCCAACTGATGACACACTGAGATAATTTCTTGTACTGATGTTTTTTGGTTTCTTGGGGGGCTGATGATGCTGTATAACTTGTAAACAGTAAAACCGCTCGCCCAATCCTTCACAGGTATAATGCGACTTATACCTGTTGTACCTAAAAAGAATTCAAAATGTTTAATAAAAAATCATGAATGTGTTGCTTGTGTGAGTCCATATCAAATAGGTAAAGAAATAATAATAAGACTTACTCACAATCAATTTAATTTAACAATCTGACG